GACTAGTCCTTGTTTCTATCAAGCTACACTGCTTCGACACAAGAAATTACAAACTCAACAGTCTCTTCTACTCTAACCTCTCATCTCTTATGTTATTTCTTTTTCATCTTTTTACTTTTATGGTACTGTTCTTTCTTTCAATTATGTTTTTATTGCACATTTCATCTCTAACCTCACATCTCTTTTGTTCTTTCTTTTTCATCTTCTCTAATCTCTCTTCTCTTCTATTTTTTCTATTTCATTATAATGTTTTTAATATTGTTTTATAATACTATTTTATGTTTTTTATTACACTTTTATATAATCTGATTTTTGTATATTACATGTGAAATTGTTGTTAAAATATGATAAATTATTTTGTTATTTAATAATGTATAAATGATTAAACACAAAATTATGTTGTTCTTTATATATGTATGTATGACTGAATAACAATATTTTTAAAAAATTGAATCAACCGAACCAAACGAACCAACCCAAATTACACTGCTTTAGTTTGGTTTGGTTTGATTTTAATTTTAAAAGTCAACTGAACCAATCGAATTACACATTTTTTTCTTACAATTTGAATGATTTTTAGCCTCAAAATCGTCTAAACAACTCTACGAAACCACTTGTACATTGGATAAAGCTCTCCCCTCCTGAACAAGATTTTTGTTTGAACATGTTTAAACATGTAGTTGACAGTAATATTATGTTTAAGTTGAAGCTAGAGCTTGTAAAATTGATGAAGCAAATGAATTTGAATGATAAATTTTCATTATTTTTTTCTCTAATAATTAATACTTTTAAATGTTAAAATTTTCATTCTAATAAACTAGAATAACTACAAGTTTGACCGGAATATTCTATTTTCAAATTTCAATTCACTGGAGTCGTAATTTGCTTAATTTGAAATGCCACATCAAATAAGATAATAGATATTATAATTAAGAGTCAAGTTAGATAATACTAACATTAATATTATTTTTAGGTTATTTGGAGGTTCAGTCCTTGTGAGCTTTAAAAGCTCATTTTTATGATATTTTTTAGACTTCCATTTCTACTAGTTCTTTTAATTTTCTTTGTTTGCACTCTGTTAGCTTTTATACTAAAAAAATGCATAAATAAGTCCAAATCTTAACAAAGTGAAAGGGAACTCGGCGAAAGAGATGTAGTCTTTTATTGATTCACTTATTTGTTGAAATGATTAAGTTAGAAATTAGACCTAGTTATTCATGAAATTCCTTAACTTAATTTAATGTTTTATTTTAGTTCATTAACTAAAAAATATTACATGTTAGTCCTTTAAAAACATTTCTGTTAGTTGAATTTGTACTTTTCATTAAATTTTATAAAAAATCATTAACTTCTATGTGAAGACAAGTTACCAACATGTTTTGATAAAGATAAGTTTAATGCTACCTTATCAAAGAAGGAGAAAAAGATCTATGAAGATATATGAAGGTAGAATCAAAGAAGGAGAAAAAGATTATGAAGGTATATAGAAAACGATAAGTTAACTTCTATATGAATTCCATATCATATACATCTTTTAGTGCTCGAAATTTTTATCATGCATTGAAAAAGTTAATTTTCATATTGAACAATGCTAAATCATTTTCAAAAACAACCTATTTGACTTGGATAAATCAAATAGATGTTGCATACTGTTTATTCAAATACTTAAAAAAAATTCAATTTTTGCCTTGTGACAAGAAAGTGCATTTTCAAGTCTGACTGAGAGGAAGGCAATCGATTGTGCTTTTGTGCAACCGATTGTCATGCCTTAAAAATTGATTTTTTTTTAAGTATTTGAATCAACCTTATGCAACATCTATTTGATTTATCCAAGTCAAGTAAATTTTTTTTGAAAATTATTTAGCACGGTTCAATACTTAAATTAACTTTTCCTATGCATGATAAAAACTTTGAGCACTAAAAGATGTATATGATATGAAATTCATATACCTTAAATGATAAATAGAATCTTGTGAACAAAGTCATATCTTCATAAATATTTTTCTCCTTCTTTGATTCTACCAAATGCCGCTAGATGATTTGTTAGATGTGTGAATCTCTTTTGTAGATCAACTATCTTTTCTCCAGGTTCCATTATGAACATCTCGTATTCTTGAGATAATGTATTCAATTTGGATCTTTTTACTTCATTTGTTCCTTCATGAGCAGTCATAAAAGTGTCTCATATCTCATTGGCCATCTTACAATTTGATACATAGAAAAATTTATCCATTTTTAATGTTGATGCAAGAATATTTTTTGCCTTCTCGTCATAAAGAACTTGTTTCTTGTCACCATCGTTCCATTATCTTGGGTTGAGAGGTATTATCAACAACGATAGTAGGAACACAAGGTCTATTATCAATAACACTCCAAATATCATTACCTTGTGTTTCAAGATACATTTGCATCAGAATCTTCCAAAAATCATAGTATTATCCATTAAAGTATGGTGAATTGTTTGTGCTGGCATTGTCCATTAAGTGCGGTCTTACGAAAGCCATAATCTGAATCGTAGTAGCAAATTACTTATAACTCACTCTGATGCCAATTGTAAGATCATAGTTCACTCTAAGAGGAGGGGGATGGGGGGTGAATTAGCGTATTTGGTGTTTTGTTGGTTTTACATCCTGTTGATGTGGCATGATAGTAAGACACTTGATACAAATATGAGTCAACAAATATATTAAAAAACTGATTTAAACTGCAGAGCTTTTTGTTTTTGGAGGTTAAAAATTCCCGCAAATCGTTAATAATGTATACAAAATATAACTCTTCATAATCAATTCTCATGCATAATCAAACATCCACATAGAATAAGACCACCCTAAAACACTTCAATGAGCATATCACAAACATAATAACTTAGTTGCAACAACTCTTCCTCATTGTTATAATTTTCAAATCAAAAGTACAAATGATCTCATCAACATTGCAACAACATAACTATATAGCTTGACTACTCTAACAATTTCAAAACCATTACATATAAGTTGATTGTTTTCTTCTTCTTCTTTTCAAAAATATATTTAATTAAACATTCTGAAAATCCACGCCTTACAAACCTTTAAAAAAATTGGAAATCCTTTTGATTAAAAATGCAATTATGAAGATTATAGAACAACAAGACATTTACAGACATGATATTGTCATGTATAAGCTTTGACATAGAAGTTGCACTCAAAAGCTTTCCCACAAAATGCCAATAAAAAAGAACAAACATATACTTGAGCATGTTATCTAGAAAGAACAAACAAAAATCACCGACCTATGTGTGACTTCAAAACAAAAACCTTCATTCTTGAGCATGCTAGATGTGACACTAGCAGCAGATTCTTCACCGAGTTAAATCCTAACCTGAACAACAAATAAAAACCACATATATGAGTGTGATTTCAAAAAATTAGAAAGAACCATATACCAATTTAGAGAAAAAACGAAGACTATAATGTAGAAGAATCAGTAAGGATGACTGAAAATGAGAAGGTAACCGGTTAAGAAAATATTGATCAAACAAGAGAATCAATAGTGAAAAACGCTTGAGATTGAAGATATGTAATGGAAAGATGATTCTGAAGGTTTTATAGGGTTTGGATGGAGAGAGAGAGAGAGATATGAAAAAAAATGAAAATCAGTAGAACTTAATGATTTTTGAAATAATCAGAAAAGCAATGTGATATAAATATATCCAACTAGATTGCAACATCAACAAAAATTTAACGATTTTTTTTATATAAAATTTAACAAAAAAAATCAAACCAACTAACGAAAATGTATTTAAGAGATTAATTTATAACTTTTTTTTAAATAAGAGACTAAAACAAAATATTAAATTAAATTAAATTAAATTACTAAAATATATATTAAACTTATAAATAATGTAAAATTTAAAAAATACATTTAACAATTTATAAAAGTATTTTATAACACTTCCATTAAAGATACTCTAAATATGAAGTTAGAATATAAAATTATATGAGTAAGAAAAAATACAGAAAATATAATGGCTTACTTTACAAATTTCATTTTTATTTTTCCTTTAAAAAAACTTTAACATTGTTCGATAAGTAAAATTTAGTTGGTAACGACAAAAAAATTAATACATAATAAGCATATGCCTTCAAAATTGACATTTTTTGTTTTTTTATATAAAATTTAAGACGCAAATCTAGTAATTAAACTATTTGTATTTTGTGAAGATCTCTTGCCCATTTAAGTAAATGTAAGTATTACTCTTTTTGTTGTGAATGTGATTTTAATTTATCTTAAAATATATGTTATTGAGAACTAATACTTTTTAAATATATATTTTTAATTAATTTTATGTACATTATTCTCAAAACATTATATTCTACTTTATATTTATATTTATGATAATGGAAATATATTGATAGTTAATTTAGTAAAAATAACATTTTTGTTTTTTACAAATTTTATTAAATTTCTTAATTTTTGTGTGAAAAAGTTAAATGATATTAAATTTAAAATAGAATAATATTTTATAATTAAATAAATTAATAAAAAAATGTCTCTATATTATCCAAGAATACTTGAATGATATGAGCAATGTTAAACTTTTTTAATAACTTTTTTTACTTTAGTTAAATGATATCAAGTTTTTTTAATAAGTTTTTCCCCAAGTTGTCAAGTCATAATTATTTTTATATTAAATTAATTATCTATACCAAAAAAGAGGTTACTGGTTCCTAAAAAAGCGCAACCTGAGCCGTTACCGTACACCCTCAGAGTCTCATACACACCGTAATTTTCACTGTCTTCTCACACTTTCTTTCTACTTTGTGTATTCTTCTTTTCTATCTATCACATTCACTCACTCCTTTCTCCATCTTCTATCATCATCATCTTCTTCTTCAATTTCAATTTCCAATCTTCACTTTCTAGGGTTAGGGTTAGGGTTTCTACATTCTCATGTGAAACCCTATCTTCTCCCCACTTCATAACACTCTCCTCTTCACGATCCACCACCGTTCCTTTCTCCCATGGGTAACTGCTGCAGATCTCCGGCCGCCGTCGCCCGTGAAGATGTCAAATCAAGTTTCTCCAACCACGATCACGCCAAGCGCGTCGGAAACGACAATCACGGGGGAAATAAAAAAGCTCCCCCGCCGGTCACCGTTCTCGGCGGCGCGGCCAAGGATAACATGGAGGAGCGTTATTTAGTGGACCGTGAACTCGGTCGTGGTGAGTTCGGTGTGACGTACCTTTGCATCGACCGTGATACCAGGGAGCTTTTAGCGTGCAAGAGTATCTCCAAAAGGAAGCTTAGGACTGCTGTTGATGTTGATGATGTGCGACGTGAGGTTGCTATTATGCGCCATTTGCCGAAGAGTTCGAGTATTGTGACTCTTCGGGAGGCTTGTGAGGATGACAATGCTGTTCATCTTGTTATGGAGCTTTGTGAAGGTGGTGAGCTTTTTGACCGGATTGTTGCGCGTGGTCATTATACAGAGCGGGCTGCTGCGGCGGTTGCGAGGACTATTGTGGAGGTTGTGCAGCTTTGTCATAAACATGGAGTGATTCATCGGGACCTTAAGCCAGAGAATTTCTTGTTTGCTAACAAAAAGGAGAATTCGCCTCTCAAAGCTATTGATTTTGGGCTCTCCATATTCTTCAAGCCAGGTACGGAACTGAACCTGAGGCTTAGGGAGAGATATTTTTTTCTTATCAAGTGTATTGAGTGAATTTGGTTTGAAATTTGAAGAAGCCTAAATTAGAAATTCTTAATTGTAGCTAGTTTTTTAGGGTTTAATTGTTAAAATTTATGGTGGATTGTTAATGAGCGCTGCAATTGGTTGGTGGGTCTACTGTCTTTGATAGCTGTGTAGTCTAGCATCTGGATATAGCATACTGGATAGGATAAAGTTTTATGCTGCCTATGTTTTGCATCTACCAAGTAAATAGAAAAGATTTGTTTGTATTTTTCCAATCTTAATTTTCCCCATCTTTATCCCAGATTCCAAACATGATTTATTTCATAGGAATACCCTGGAAATGTGAAGTACATCTTCGATCTGGGTCTAATCTGCAAACCTTTGCAGTTTGTTGTTTATGTTAGATTAAGCTTATTTCTTTGTTTGTCCAAACATACCATTTCCTTTAAATTTCCCTTCCTTCCAAACCAACCCTTTTGCAAAAGGAATCATATAGTATAGGAGTTGCCACAATTGATTTAGATCTGTGGTGAATAACAGTAACATTGCATTTTCATGTAGCTGTTTGAGGGTTCTGTTTTGATTGTTATTGTTAGAGTATATTAATTAAAGTTGTTGGTGGGCTTCTACTAGCAGGACTAGAACTTGACATAATCCATTATTGTTTTGAATTTCTGTTCTGTTCTGATTTGGCATGATTGGTTGTCTAGCTTTGGAGTAGTTTTCTGAAGCCTAGATTGTCCGGGGTTTTTGGTTTGAAGACATTGTACTTTTTTGGAGGTTGAGGTGGCCGCTGGGGATTAAAATTGAAGCCGCAAACACTATCTTATTTGCTTGGAAAGTGTGCTAACTAGAATCTAGGAAATATTTGGCAGCATCATTGCCAGTATTTATGATTCAGGGTAAGGGGCAGCGGCTGGTTTCTTATTTTCTATGGAGATGGGCTGGTGTTCTTTGTTTTATAGTTTATATCTATCCATTTGACACTTAACAAATTAAATGCTTTGTAAGCTGCAGGTGGAGGGATGTCTTAGAATACAGTAGGGTCATTTGTTTAGGGATTTTGCTCGTGCTAGCAAAAATAGTACTTAACCTAATTTGTAATGTAAATAGATGTGTAGTAGTACATTAACAGTTTGGTATCTTTGTTTCATATTATGCATTAAATGTAGTCATTTTACTTGAGAGAAGCCTAAGTTCCACATCGTCTAAAGATGTAGTCCAATTAAGACTAAAATTTGGGCAATTCTCTCCATATAAGTTGATTTTTTATGGTAGAGTTAAGTCCAATATCTAAAATGATATTTGAGTCTATCATTGACCCGCCGTTGGGTCATCTGTATTATCCTTGCACTGGGCCCAATAATCTTAGGCATGTGGGGGTGTATTAGAGAAATAGCTAAGTCATGCATCACTTATAGATGTGACCAAAATTGAGCTTATGAAACTTAGACAATTCTCACATTACAACTTTACAAGTTGATTTTGTAGGGTTGGTTTAGTCCCAAAACCTAAGACACTTTTAGAAAAAAAAATTAGTTTAGGAGCTTGAGGTACTGCTAATAAAAATTGGAATGAAGTACATGTTGTGGTTCAGCTTCAGCTTCAAAAGAGGTTTTTTCCCCTTGTTTTCAATTTTCATTTCTGTTACAAAAGCACCAACTTGTTTTCATTATGATGTCCATCTACAAGTCTCTGTAAACGAAATATTGAGAACAACAAAATGTCAAGCGTGTTTGATTAAAGCTCTTAAAAACACACTTCCATTTTTTAACGTATGAAAACAAAATTATTTATTTGGTTTATTTGCTACTAGTTCTTAAATTATTCTCCAAACTCTAATACTAAAATTGAGAAAAAAATTAGTTTACTGACGTCAACATTAAAAACAGGCATTGGCAGTTGTGTAAACAAATGATTTCTCGAATGGAAGTTTTGTCATGAAAGCAACTGCTTTAATACTTGTTCACTGGAAAATTTCTGATTTCTAAGTATTTTTTTGGAAGAGTTTCTTATTTTCTTGCAAGGTGTCTCTATATTTGCTATACTTCTCATTTAATATTTATAATTTGTAAAAGAAGAAATTGATTTGGCATACGATTCTTTAATTTTTAAAAAATGAGATCTGTTATAAATCACCATAACACCATTTCTTCAGCAGTTCAAATTTTTAATTTTTTTGTCAAAATTTTGTACTCCGAACATTTTTAAAATTTAGAAGAATAAAGTTGAACCCGATAACCCAATTGTTTTCACTATATCCTCCAGAAAATTTTGAAAATAAAAACAAACAAAAGAAAACCAACGTGGGTAGTAATTATTCTCAATAGCTCACTTACTATTTTAATTATTTCAACTTAAAATAGGCCAATTATTTTGGTATTAATTATTGAGATAAGCAAATCTTTATTAATTTCTATGAGGTAATCCACTGCACACAATGTTTTACGATTTTAATACTGGAAAGGATTCAAAGTACAATAAAAAGGAAACTAATAAAACATGGAGGCTTGTAATATTTTATGAAAGCTATAAAACATAATATATATGTAACTAAAATAAACTATACTCTCCCTAAATTGAAGATACTTTCCAGCAATTAAATTGTATATCTGAAAGTTAAAACAGAAAATAAATAAAACCACCACTAATGAAAGGTTATCCTTTCTGCTTTACTTCAGCAGCGCTACAGACATTAAATTAGGTTGATCATATTCTCTATGTTGACAGTTTGCCATATTATTGAACGGTCTTACTTTCTCTATTCATGTTTCAACACTATGCTTAAATCTCTTTTCATTGCTTACCATATCTGACTTATTCCCATAATTGTCGTGTGGCTAATATTCAAATTTTCAGGTGAGAAATTCTCAGAAATCGTAGGAAGTCCATATTATATGGCTCCAGAGGTGCTCAAGCGGAATTATGGACCTGAAATAGATATATGGAGTGCAGGAGTGATACTCTATATCTTATTGTGTGGTGTTCCCCCATTCTGGGCTGGTAATTATATTCACAATCTATGCATCTATATATTCATGCCCTCATCTACATGTGCATACTCTATATCTATTTCGGCAGTGTTCCCCCATTTTGGGCTGGGAATTACATTCATAAACCTATGTATTTATACAATGTTATTTATTTATGCATGCCCTCCTCTACATGTGCATGAGCATATATGAACATTCATGTGTGCCCATGTTTTCTGTATTTTTTTATCTTTTGTTTTAGTTTGAGTGAGACTGAACTGAAGTATACTAATGCTTGTTTGCCACATTGTTTATCTGAAAAGTTGTGTTTTCTTTTAGTTCATGTCTATTTCTTGGATTGTGTTTTTGAACTTGGATTTATAGTATTATTATTATTATTATTATTATTATCATTATTATTATTATTATTATTATTATTATTATTATTATTATTATTATTATTATTATTATTATTATTATTTCATCAGCTCTTACAAAATCTTGTTATCATTTTACCTGGATGTTAATCACAATGCAGAATCTGAGCAAGGAGTTGCACAGGCTATTCTTCGAGGGCTTATAGATTTCAAACGGGAACCTTGGCCCAGTATTTCTGAAAGCGCTAAAAGTCTTGTTAAACAAATGTTAGAACCAGACCCTAAGCTTCGATTAACGGCCAAACAAGTGCTTGGTATGTTCATGACTTTCCATAGTCATATTATTCAAAAAATCAGTTGCATGCTGTAAGTTTCAGCACTGAAATACTTTAGTGATGCTTGTTTTATATCTTTAAAGAGAAATCATGTGAAGAAGTCTCAACCATTTTGATTGAAATAATTAAACTATTTTCGTAACTGGACTTGATTAATGACAACTTTTACTGTATTTTTTTGTTCTAAATTTAAAATTTAACCCTGAAAATCTTTTTTCCTTTGCATCTGTGTTTTCGTTAACGAAGACTTAAATAGGGAAACAAAGTGAATGGTTGAAGGAGAAGGGTCTATATGTGTGTAGACATGTTACTGAAATAAATAATGATTAGAAATCATTTATGGTGTTTATGTTAAGGATTTATCAGAATAAACTCACGAGCTTCATGATGTTTTCCTTTACTTGTCTTGCAGAGCATCCTTGGCTCCAAAATGCTAAGAAGGCTCCAAATGTTCCTCTTGGAGATGTTGTCAAGTCAAGGCTTAAGCAATTCTCAATGATGAATCGATTCAAAAGAAAAGCCCTTAGGGTTGGTTCACTGCATCTAGTGGTTTCTTAGCAAGTTCATTTTACTTTATATTAAAACTAAGACTGTATGGTCGAAAACAGGTAATTGCTGATTTCTTATCCAATGAAGAAGTTGAAGACATCAAAGAGATGTTCAAAAAGATGGATACCGATAATGATGGCATTGTTTCTATTGAAGAACTAAAAGTTGGATTCCGAAACTCTGAGTCTCAACTTGCTGAGTCTGAAATTCAGATGTTTATTGAAGCGGTGAGTTTTGTCAATTTTCCTTTTTCCACTAGCTTATTGTGTCTAAAGCCGCATGTTATTGGGCCAGTTCAATTAGATCATTCTAATATGAGGGCCATTTTGGTTCTATCAAATTTTTTATTATTTCTTATGCTCTGTTTTCATATTAATTTTTGAACATCTGTGTTAATGGTTCTGAAAGTATAACATTCCAGCTTGAAATTGTTCTTAACTTGTTTTATCTGATCATTGTTTTTTGACATCAGGTAGATAATAATGGTAAGGGAACACTAGACTACGGAGAATTTGTTGCCATTTCCCTTCATTTAAAAAGAATGGCTAATGACGAGCATCTTCACAAGGCCTTCTCCTATTTTGACAAGGATGGGAATGGATATATTGAACCAGAAGAGCTACGGAATGCCTTGATGGAAGATGGAACTGATGACTGTACAGATGTAGCAAATGATATTTTCCAAGAAGTAGACACAGACAAGGTGAATAGTCTTTAGATTTTTTTTACATGTAGTAATGATCAAGGAATCTCTAATCTCAAACCCTTGAATAATCACAGGATGGAAAAATCAGCTATGATGAGTTTGTGGCTATGATGAAAACTGGAACGGATTGGAGAAAAGCTTCTCGGCATTACTCGAGAGGAAGATTCAATAGCTTGAGCTTAAAGTTAATGAAAGATGGTTCTTTAAACTTAGGAAATGAGTAGTTGTCCAAGTGTTTGGTTATATTCATTCAATCTGTTTTTCCACATAGTGTATTAGTCCTCCTAAATCCTGGACTGGCTTCTTTGTGATGATTATTTGGTTCCTTGTTAGATAGGGTCCTTTTGACCTAATGTTGTCCGAGTCATGAAGGAAGGGGTAGGCAAAATATACACACGCCCTTTGTTACTTGTGTAAAACATGGTGCCTTGGAGCCAATGGTGTGACATGTATGATTCCAATCATTTTAACATCCCGCCTTCTCTTCTGGTTTGAGAATGTTGATTCAAAACTCTTTAGTGCAGTCAGAATGTTTATCGAGGTGTGAATATCTTCTAGTTTGTATTATGGACTCAGATTTGGTCATTTTATTGTTCCCTACTCTACTAATATTTTGGCCATAGAATGGCTGTGTATTCCAAGATAATATTATTGCTGCTTACTGTAGGAAAGTTCAGAAGAGCCTGTAAGGATGATCCGCTTCTTGAATTTTGTGGTTGCATGATGGTAAGGTCAGCCGTGTTATATTGTAAGATTCCACTATCCAAGAGCATCAGACCATCCCAAAAGAAACAACTAAATATTTTGAAAAATAGGACGCATTATGTTTTGCTCATGCAACATTATGCCATTAAAAGATTTTTCAGCGCTATTAGAGATTTTACATATTATGATTTATGACAGCAGTGTGCTATACTGGCCCTAAAAGTTTTAAACTTTGAAGTGTTGACTGGGGTTCGTAATTAATTAAGCAGTATTTTCCATGTACTGTGTACTGGTTTTTGGTACTTTGAATGACTTGAAATGATATTCGTAGGATTTTGAATTTGAAAAATAATATTTCTATTATATATAGTGAAAAAAGTTTATTTCTACTATATATAGTCATATGATATTTGAATTTGAAAAAAAGTATATTTATGTTATATAGTCAGAATCAATTGATACTACAAAAATAAAAATAATATCATGACGGCTTTAATAATTCTTTTCTACTTGATAACAAAGTTGATTGTCAAACTGAAAATTGATATCATGTAAATCTTATTTATAAAATCTGTAATTAATTAATAAGCATTTGTTATATTGTCAATTAATTTTAGCTCAACTAATAGTAGATGATATTGTTACATTGGGCATTATCATCAAGTTTCAACTCAGAGATTTACGATTGTGTGAGATGCATCAAAATTTATTTTTATATAAAGTTTTATAAGACGTTAATTATTATAGATCTCACCGATATATTAAATGATTTTTGACTAATATTATATTTTATGAACATAATCTATTATATTATAGCTTTTAATTTAATACTCTATCTCAAAATAAATATCATATTTGATAAAATTATTTGTTTTAAAATAAATGTCATTTTTTTTATATGATGTGTTGCTTTTAATTTTTAATTTTAATTTTTTAATTATATTTTCTAATTAATATTTTAGGAAGTAAAGAATATTTTAATACATATATCGTACTTAAAAAATCATATGTTAAATTTAATCATGTCAATTGAGTTATGAATCCCACACAAGAAGTAAGCCTGACAAATTTGTTGGTAAGTTATGTTCTGGTTGACTTAATTTAAGAGATTGTTTTTGAGAATTTCTTAATGCATCACGTGAATTGTTACAAATGTCTATAGTTTTTGAAGATTTATCTCCAGACGCATCTCTTGCACACTAAAATAAGACTATTTTAAGAGGCGTCCCATATGTTGGGCTATTTTTATCCAGGTGATGGATTTTCGAAACATTTTAAAAAACATCTTAGTTATTTATCAGTTTAGTCGATATTCTGGAGGTGGATCTCCAGAATTATGGACAATATTTTGAAATTTTCTATCACCTTTGCATGTCAAATATTTCTGGAGATGCATCTACGAAAATATTTGATAAATAAATCAGCTGCATGACCTCACAACCATTGTTGACATACTTGGTTTTCAACTAAATTATTCACCCTAAAAACTCTTCATTCTCAATCCATTTTTCACTCCAAATCTCCATCCTTTTGGTTCATCACATCATAGGGAGTAAAAGAAGATAAAATTTAAGGTAAATATTATTCTTTTTTCTTGAAAAAAGTCATGTTGTGTCCGGAAATGTATCTCTGAAATGTATATGAACTCGTCTGGAGATGCATTTTCAGAAGTTGTCTGTGTTTATTTTTAAAGTCATTTTGTAGCAGTAGTAGCGCTTATGTTCTGTTATTGTTTTAACTGTTTTCATTAGATATGCTGCATCCCGATGTTTTCGCAAAACAAGTTGTTTCTCCGAATGTCCAAGGTGTGGTTGTTTCTCTAAATATTCAAGGTGTTGTTGTGAAGGCGGTATATATTGGCAACGAGTTTAAAAACAAGCAAGAGTTTGAATCTCGTGATCAAATGCTTCAATGGATTCGTATAGAGACCTCTAAACTTAAATTTGGTGTGGTTGTCGAAAAGAAGCGGGAAATATCAAACTCCTCTTCGGGATTTTAAAAGAGACGACACTAGTACAATAAAATGTGAGTTTCCGTTTAAGTTCGTGGTTACATGCTGACAAAATAAAAATGGAGATTTAATGTGATATGTGGTTTGCATAACCATGATTTGTGTTAAAAATTAGCCGATCGTCCTACTGTATGCCAGCTCAAGCCGAAAGAGAAGGAATGTGTTGCTGACATTACCTTGAATCTTGTTTAATAAAAAAAAACTTGTAACATTGAAATGGAAATGACCCGACAATATATCAAATATCAAGAAAATATATAATATTCGGTACCTTACTGTCGCTACTGCGAAAATCGGCGCCGGCTGAACAGAAGAGTCGCCACCGTGCGTTATTTATCCCACGGGAGGGAAAGGAAACGCTCAGAGTAAACCTCGCACAACATGGGAAAGGTATGGTCGTCGCAACCAAAACCTGGATTCGGGAGTCGGTTACGCAAGGGGAAGGTATTAGCACCCCTCACGTCCGTCGTACTCGACGGGATCCACGCTTGTTTTCGGGTATGGATTGTTATTCTATCTACGCTAAAGGTCTGGGGTTAAAAGAAAAGAAAATGAAAATAAAAAAAATGACTCGGCAAAGTATCGCACTTTATGCCTACGTATTCCCGTCTGGAACGAGAAATCAGAGTCAACGTAGTTCGCCTACCTACGGGAAAGGAGGGGAAGGTTGCTCGCTAGGATATCGCATCCTATGCCTACGTACTTTCATACAGCATGAAAGATCAGAGCAAACGTAGTTCGGGCCACGTACGACACAAGCTTGCCTTGGTTGATTTTATTCCTTCTGAAAAAGGTTTTCTGATTAGCGGTCCCGGCGGACAAAAATGACGTTTTGATGAGTTCACATTCTTTTACGAAAGAAGTGTCTTTTATTGTGTTTGAAATCTTTATGTGTTTTTCTATTTGTTTTGAGAAAGAAAGAGACGGAACTCTAACCTACGGTTGCGAAAGGGAAACAAACTACCCTAATGTTATCATGCATGGGTTAATACCTAGTGTCTATCATGCTCCTCTCTTGCACAGAGAGAAACAGAGATCCTACGGGATAGGCAGAAACAGAAACAACATCAGATATATACAGTAAAATAGTAAAATGCATGGATGCAACAGTACAAGCGAGGCAAGGGAGTCCCACTCAACCTCGAACCTAGAAAACAATAGGAAAAAGTGAACAGACTTCACTTTCAACCCAACAGGGCAAACAGCAAACAATACAGTCAGGAAAACCAGTCAATACATCAAGAAATGAAATACAGCAAAAATAAACATCCTCAGCAGCTCTGGATCAATATCTGGCTTCAAGTAATCTCCAATCAGCTACAGGCTTCAACAAGCATCAGTCTCCATCTTCATGACCTTTAGGCAAGGGCTTTGATCATCATTCTTCCATCTGCAATGGCTTTTCTTCAAGTTCAAACCTCCAGGATGAGGGATTAGTCACAAGAGTGAATTGGGTGTTAAGCAATCAGTTGACTACCAAGGGTGGTGAACAGACTGCTTCTAACACAAGAGACATTTTCTCTCAAGAGTTTTATCTCATAGACACTATCACCAAGCCTTCCAAAGGAAGGGGGTGAGTGTCTTAGAGAGACTCTGAATCACAGAGAATAATGGATGCAGACAAGGCAATCCATGTTTGAGAAACAAACTTTCTAACCAAGAGCTCTGCCTAGCTCCTAAACCCTAGTTCCTCAGCATCTGCTAGCAAGAATCTTCTCTTCAACTCTGGAAGTGGATCTTCAACATCTGGATCTCCAGTGGCCTTCATCTTCTCAAGTCTTCAGCTCTCCTAAGTCCCCAGACAACCCCAATACCCAAGCAAGCAAGCAATAATCCCCGGAGGGCACACCACACCAGTCAATCGGACATACACAGAGTATTAATAGCAGTAGGGGAGTCCTGACTTTTTCTCTAAGGGATCTAATAACTACCCATAGCCCCTATAGTCCCATAACTAATCTAGTTAAACCCTAAGTCCTAAGGGAAAGAATCAAACCTCCTAAGTCATCACCTAAAAAACCCTAATTTTATCCATGTTGTTCACACCTACACTAAGCCCCTAAATTTAATTTCTAAAAAAGGGAACTAAATTGTTTCTACAAGTTTAATGTCTAAACTAAACAACCTAAAAAGAATGGACAAAAAATATTAAAGCATCTAGTAGAACAAAAATTAACAAAATCATGCATGAAATGAAACTTTTTAAAATGCTATTTATTTGGAAAATATGGGAAAAATATCAAATAAAAAATAAAATGCAATTTTTATTTTTTATAATTTTCTAAACTCTTTAAAGAAAATGATGCAAAAATAATGAATTAAAAATATGCAATTTCTAATTTGTTATGAATTTTCAAAAATGAAATGTTGAAGTTCAAGTATACTACTTAACCCTAATTAAAATATCCTAAGTTCAATTATCTAAACTAACCAAATTTTATTCTAACAAATCTAGTAATAAATTCTGGGAATACTACAATTCAATATTAATCACCACAAAAAAGAATG